TAAAATAACTACTCAAAACCATACCAACCCGTGTCCGGAATACAATAAGTAATGGATCAAAACCGGAATCTCTACAGCTGGGCTGAAATAACTTTTGGGCCTTGTTTGAGATTGTCGTTGTCACCCTGTTACTGTATTGATTGGAGGCATTTGGATTGATGTGTGTTGGTTTATTTTCTTTTAGATGGTGGATGATTTCTTTTAGAATTTTTTTTCTCTCTTTTACATTTTTATAGGGATTTATACTAGCAAAATGTATGTTTTTTTGCGATTTAACTGTCATATTTATTTTCTAAGCTTGAACATAATTTCAATCACTTGGTTTTAAAGATCATATTTTGGCCTGATTGTTGTCCATTCCAAAGGAGAATCAGCTTATATCTATTGTCATGTTTGTGAATATGGTAAAATTATTTTTACATTTGATTGCTCTTCGGAGTTGAGAACATTGATACGATTGTTTGTTGTATTTTGTATCTAATACTACATCAAACAAAGCTGCCTTAAGCAGTACTACTCTAAACACAAGGAAGCTTGATGATGGAATAGAGAATCTTTCTCGTGAGTACTGTAGACCATTTTTGTTTTTGTACTCTAGACCTCATATCCTTGCCTTCTAACTTCTGTCATTTTGCATGTCAAACAGTTTGATTTTTTAATGAGCTGATCTTGCCTTGCTTTTTTGTGAAACGATGTAACCATTTGTGTATCAGTTTTGTATTTTCACATAGTATAATTATGGTATAATACATAACATATCCATGTTTTATTGAGCATCCTCCATTTTATTCTATTGGGAATTTGTAATATATTCCTTGATGTTCTATGAATTCTTAATTATGGACTTGATCAACTATCAATATCTATGGAATTGTCATGCATTCTTAATTTTTTTATTGGAGTGTATGAACAAGTCCAACAGGTCATCAAGTATTAGGATATGAAACCTAAACCTAACTGTAATCCTGTTGATATACACGCATCCTCCAAGAACCATCCATCTTGGGGGTTAAAAGGGCTGGGATTGCATAGGGGCTAATGTAACCTTTCCCTAGAAGTCCCTCTACCCTGCCTATTTATATTAGCACGCTCCTTGGGGTTCAACCAATAATGGGGCAGATTAGGTAATTTTGATCCTGGGACTACATTGGCAGCTTGCTGAATGCCTCTCATGGGAGGTAACTCTTCCGTGATCACGTCATGAAACTCATGCAATTAGTTAACCTCTGGTGGCTGGTTTAATGTGACTCAACAAGAATATGAATTTCTCCTATATGGACTGAGGCTAATCAATGTTAATAGGCACATTGAAGACCCAAGGTCTCATAGGGCCTAGGTGCAAAGCACAAGGTGAGGTGCGAGCTTCATTGAAGCATGGCTCATGTGTGACAATAAAAAATAGATAATTCAATATAAGCAAATAATTCAAGTTGAGTTTATTTGGCTTGAAATAATGGTACAAAATAATTTGGAACAAATTTAAAGGAAATCTACTGAGTTGTGTTTATTTGGCGAAAAGGGTCCAAAAAGGAGTCGGATTACTCCCTGCGTAACTCATTACTAAGAGATAAAAAAAAATTTAAGTTACAAATTGCAGAATTCTTTGCTTCAAAAGTTGATTTCTTGAATTCCAAATACTTGATTAAGTGTGGAAAAAATATATGGATGGTTTTGATTTGTGGAAACTCCATTTCCTTGTAACAGTTAGGCCTATTTGCATGCATTGCTCTCAAACTTCCAACTCAAAAATTTTTCATAATTTCTTGAATTCCAAATACATGACTAATATATGGATGGTTTTGGTTGATGGAAACTCCATTTCATTATTAAAATTAGGCCTATTTGCATACATTGCTCTCAAACTTCCAACTCATACAATTTTCATATCTATGCATCCCAAATTAGATCCGGTGAGAGAATTACTTTATTCTTGAAGAAAATTACATGATCTAAGGATAATAAAGCATGGATTGATCATCTTCAAGGAGATCCTTCATCTAATTCTCAACTAAGGAGAATGTAATGTGTACATGAATTGCAATGAACACATGGACCTAATATGCTGTATTAATGGTCCTTACTCATAGGGTTTAGTGTAAACAAATGTGTTTCATATACTAGATATGTTTAGATACGATTCCTTCTACCCTTTGTCCCGTCTTTGTCCTTTTACCTTTGAATTGGTGATTTAGTGTTTTATTCATTTAGAGGCTTTTTTTGTCATCCGAGGAAGGGAAATGAAAAAAATGCGGTAAAAATGATGGTTGTAGTCCATTTTTCTCTTCAAAAGAATTGTTTTTATTAGAGTGGTTGAATGGTGCGCGAGCATTTTGCCATTTTCTTCTAAAACAAAAGGTTATGTAAAGGTTTGGAGTGTTCTTTCGTTTAATGGAATAAACTCTTGCTAAACATTCCACCCTTTGTGGTTTTCATCTGTCTTGGTAGTTGGATCGTCTTTCAACTTCATTCTATCTCTAGATATTTTGTTGGTTATTAGACATTACTGGGAAAGCGGTCAATCCTAAACTAAATGGCATGAAGGCGAAGGGAAGATCATGTAGTATTACACCATTGTTGTATATTCACTGTCGGCAACTCACATTACTTTGTATGAGAACTGGATTGAGTGTGAATATATTGCAAAAATTAAGAGGGCCAAACATGCTTTTTAAGGGATTAGAGATGTTTTTTGGACCGGTGTAACTAGATGGGTCTGGGGTATATGAGATAGTATTTTTATTTTTGGGTTGATGTCTCTATGCTGGCTCTTTTTGAGTTTCTAGTGTGGAGCTCTCACATGCAAGTATTCTCAGTGGTTGCACAGTCCATTGGCTAGTATGATCGTGATTGATTGCTTGATTGAGATAAAGAAAGTGTGGTGTCATGCCAGTGCATGTTCGAGTGAGAGATGTTGGAAATTGGGTCGAGTCTAGAACACATACTAGATTGGGTCGCCCATTGAGTCATGAGCCAAGACCCATAAAGAGAGACCCAATCAAAGTGAACTTGGATTAGTTTATCCCAAGATAAGAGTGTATAACTCACTATCTTATCTCTTATGGAGATAGAGTTGTGGGTGGTTATAACTCTCTCATATAATATACGTATTATATTTGGGAGAGCAGGATTTTAACGGTATGGGTAATCTACTAGTCTCTTGCTCTTAGTCTCTCTCTTTTTTCTCTCTCCATGGAAACACATAACCAAGCCTTTGTTCTGTGAATAGTGTAGGTAGTTCTCTAGTAGTTCTACTCCACTGCTGGAAATTATTTGAAGACATTAATGGAGGCACGTGATTCACCCACATGATTCATGGATTCAGTTTGAGCGTAAAAGGTATGCCCAAATCCGTTTATTTCCACAATGTATTATTTCTTATTTTTTCTACACTTACTAAAACAGAGATCACATAATTATACTAAAATTGTAAACGTTGCTACGTTTTCTACAACCCTTGTAAGAGGTTAATGTAATTTACCTTTTCTTTTTTAGTTATTGAATAAAAATTTGTTGTGTAGATATTAATAATTGAACGAAAATACATTTTGTACTTGTTATGTGAACAATTCGTTTTTGTTTAAGAGTTGATATTTGAACAATTAATACGTCATTATGATGTGAACTAAGAAAAAGAATCAGTACATATATTCTCTCAGTGAACACATTTATAAATTGACGTGTTTTTATTTGTTTGCTCAATACACAATATTTATATAAAAAATACCCCAACCCCTCCCTACGTTTCACAACCACCCAGTCTTACCTTCTAGATCACATGACACAAAGTGTATAATCGGCAAGGTGGATTTGTGATGGGGATTTTCTATAAGGATGTTTATGACAATATAGGGTTCATAACAAAATGGGGTTCGAGTGGGGGGTTTCGCAATACTTTTTGGAGGAAGGGAAGATAGTTGCAAATGAAGGGGTTTGCAATGATGGGGGTTCATGTTGGTGGGAGTTTCATGGCGATAATAATTTACAACTGTGGTGATGGTTGGTGGTAGTAATGACTAGTGATGTATGAAAGGTGTGTAATGAGAAATTATAATTTTGGATTTTATTTGAAAGTCAATTTGATTAAGATGTAAAATTGTAATTATCTTTTTTAAAAAATCTACTAGTGTCAACTGTTTATGTGTGGAAATAGAAGCTACTGATTCTATTTACACCATAATTTTACTTTATTACACTCTCAATTTCTAACTTTTTTAGCAACGCATCGAATTATTATTATTATTATTATTATTATTATTATTATTATTATTATGTCAAAATAACAAAATCATCACAAAAGATTTCAATACCATTTTTAATAAACATGTGTTCTCATCAATTGATAATGTAACCGAAATAAAAACCCTAACCGAGTCCCAATTTCATCACTTAATCTCTACAAATTACTAGAAAAAATAAAATCCTTTGTGGTACTTATGATATATCAGATGTCATTGTATCTTGAGCAAGAAATAGCTCTATAATGGCATAAACAATTCAAAGAGAAATCCATTTTTTCAAAGGCATCTCCAATAGCTTATAAGTAATGTGCAAAATATTACATAATGGCACAACATGTCTTAGAAAGAATATAGACATTTTAAAAATTAAAATATATATATATATATATATTTAGTGTTCATTTTATTAATTTAATTTTTATTTTTTAAAAAAGTTTCAAGAAATAATTTTTTTAAATCAAACTAAACAAAACCTTTATCTTTCTAAAAACACTAACAAAGGTTGACCCTTTTTTGGCAATAAAAGACAGGGCTTTATAAAGAAAAATTTAATTTAAACCCTACAAATTAAACTCACCACAAACTTTACTTTACCCAAACAATTAAACAATTTATTTGAAAGCTAATGATGCACTATGTATCTTATTGCAAGGACCAGAAGTTAATAAAAAAATCAAATATATGCTTTAAAATCCCAAAAATAAAAAGCCATTAACTAAACTTAGAAAATCACTACAAAAGCACTTGGAGAGTAAATGGCGTTTAGCTTGTAAAATTAAAATCAGAGGTGAAGCCCAAGTGAGAATGTTGTTCTTCTGCTTGTTCACTTGCATTCATCCAAGTTTGAGAGAAGGGTTCACCGCCACCGCCACCGCCACCGCCACCAACACTATGATGTTGGTTTTGATATTGGTTTCCATGATGATAACGTTGTTGGTGATGCATTTGTTGTTGTACATTGTTAAAGGCTATCTGGGCTTGTATTTGGGCTATTTCATACTGGGTCTGGATTATTTGTTGTCGCAATTGAAAAATTATTTGAGTGCATCCATAAACTGGGTCTTGAATTCGCGAACTTGCTTCAAAAACCATGCTATCTACTGCATTTGCCCTTAAATCGACTGGAAGTTGCTGTACCACCACCCCCCAATCAAAACAATATTATTAGTTCAATGAATAATTATACTTGTAACCTAAATCATGCATACTTATTATGTTTGGACACTTACTTTCTAAAGAGAAAATAAATGAAACGAAATTTGTTGTACATATTATTTTTTTTTTTTTGAGTAACCAAACCAAATTTTTTTTAACAAATATTTATTAATTTTCTTCTCATTTTCTTAGTCGTACTAAAATAAAAACAAAAAACAAAACGAGAGAGAGAGAAAGAGAGAGAATAGTTTCTTTTTTTCACTTCATTTTTTCTAATCTTTTCCCTCTTTATTTTCGTTTCTTTCCACAAATTCATGAGTCAAACATATACATACAAATCCATCTTTTGAAACGTTGTAGAATTGTTAGAATAATGTAATGAAGGCTTTCTAATTCTGATTAGCTTTAAAAACACTAATAAGCTTCACATTTTTATTTTTATTTTTTTTTATAATAAAAGAAGTGTGTCATCTCAGAAAAAGAAAAAGAAAAAAAATGAAAAACAATTGACAATAATAAACTCAATTCTTTTACTATCTTATCATGTCAAACAATATAATTATAACCTTAAGGTGTCCAATTAGAGTGCATTTGTTACTCTCTATCTCACTACACACACAATCAAATATCTAACTTTCTTCAATCCAACTCAAGGTGATTATATATCTAAAAAAAAACATCTATAAATATGTAGAAAATTAAAGAAAAGATATCTAGAAACTTTGTAAAGATGAATAAATTAAGTGCATAATACTAATATATAACACAATTTCTCTTACCTCTAATAACTTAGTAACATTGCTAGCCCCATAGATCTTATGGACACAAGAAAATCTTTCTGGATTATTTGCTTGGAAATATGGTGCCAAAACACAATCTTGAGAGCATCTTCTTCTTAAATATTTGCAAGCTGCACACCTTGTTGAATTAGACATCTCCGGATTTGCTAGAATCTATCAAAGATCTTCTCTCCCAAATTCTCTAAAATCAAATGTATATAGTGTATGAATGATTTTGTTTGAGTTGATTTTAAATCTATGAATGATTTTATATGAGATTTGCATAAGATTGTAGAGTTTTAATTTTGGAAGGTGATAACGGCTATAATTTTCAAAAAATGGTTAGAGAAAGGAAGGAATTCAGAAGAATGGAAAGCTTGAGAACATTTCATTTACCCAAGAAATTAGTTGTTAAGTTGTATGCCTGCATAGTGTATACAGCTTTTCTTTTAAATTTTTACAAGTGAAAACATAAAAACATAATTATTTCTCAAAAATAAAATAAAATTGTCTTCATTTTTTTTTTCCCCATTGTTTTTGGTTTTGTTTTTGATATATTGGAAGGGGAGGGGGAAGTTAAATCTATGATCTCCTGCTCTCCTAATATATAGTACATGGTCTAGCCACTAAGCTACTTCGTGTGGATTTTTTTCTAGCTTTTCATTGACCTACATATTTTTCAAATTTTGCATGTCACTTCAAAATCTTGTTAGATTATTCCGATCAAGGTGTTCTAAATAATTTATACTAAAAAATTTAAGTGCAAATGGCATGCTTAACTTAGGAAGTTTATTAAAGTGTTCAATATTATTATTTATCATCATTTAGTATAATATTTTTTTCATTTTCTTAGTACATCAAAAAACAGGTATGCGTGTTTGGCCTAAGGGGAGAGGGGAAAGAAAATAGGAATGGCATGGTTTGAACAAGGGTCAAATATGCGACCTCTCCTTAGAATACAAATATTCTACCATTAAACTACATGCACATTTCTCTTAAGATCATAGGAGAAAAATATTGTAGACACCCTAATGTGAGTATAAAATATGAAGAATGACACTCATCAAATCAGTTTAATAATTGATTCTTGAATTAGTCGCGGTTTAATGGGTCGAATATTGAATTATTTAAAAAAAAATCATTTCTATGATTGCGTCACATATTGTGAAAAATTTAATGTCACTAATGTATTTGTTTAATAATTTTATCATTTTATGTTTTACACAATGCTGCATAGCAAGACATTCAAAATTTAATTTTTCAATTTGATCATGTCTACAAAAAAAATAAAAAAATAAAAGAAGGAAAGTGGCTTGTCTCCATTTCTCTTAGAAGACTCGATGATGCAGTTTCGCTCCGTGAATTTATTAATCAATTTATGTTTTAAGTTTGAAGGCATAGATAATTCATAATTTCATTATATTTATTTTTAAAAATAAAACAATAAATATTTAAATTGTAAATTTATTTAAAAACAAATATTTTGTCATATAAAAATTATATGTCATTAAAGATTCAGTCTATTTATCATATAAAAATTATACTTTAAATTTCATCAAATAAGGGATAAATCAAATCATTAATCAAATTATCATTGTTAGTCCCAAGTTTATTCAAATTTAAATTTGTATTGATTTTGATTATTGACAAATATTTTGAGCTCATTTATTAATTCAACGTTTTCAAAATGATTTCATACAATTGTGCTTCAATGTTTTTAAAAGATATATACTTCTATAGTGTTGTTTTCCAATGGTTTTTAGCCCCTCAAAACATGAAATTAACACATGCATGCAAAATACTATTTATGCTTAAAATTGGTTCAAGAGTTGACACCAGAGTGAAGCTCAAAATGCCTAAGTATTCTAGCTGCAAGGGTCGACAGCAAGATAGCCAAGGTCGACACTAAATTTCAGAACACAATCCAGCAGCAAAGGTCGACACCAAAGACAGCAAGGGTTGACACTAAATTTCAGAATACAATCCAGCAGCAAGGGTCGACATCAAAGGCAGCAAGGGTTGATGCTAAATTTCATAAAACAATCCAGCAGCAAAGGTCGACACCAAGAATGATAATGGTTGACGCTAGGAATACTTGGAAATCAACTCAGAGAAGAAAATAGAGCAAATGGTCGACACCCAATCTGCAGGGGACGACACCTTTATGTCTGGGTTGAACTAAACCTAGCCGCCATCTTCCAACTCAAAGAGGGTCTCTGTGACATCATCATTAGACAAATGTTATTCTAATCAAAAGGAACTTTGGGACAACAACCTCTGACTTAGTGGAGGAAACATTCCCCACTCACACCACCCCCAAAATCAGAAAAAACAGAAGGCTTGGAGACAACATTATCTCCAGCCACCAAGTTTTGAATCTCAAGCATAGGCATCACATCTTTTGAGGAAGCCCCATCTCCAACAGATAGATAACAGCCTGTACCACCCATGCGTCATATCCAACAACTAGAAGCATTCTCCTATGCCCACCTCCAACAGCTAGAAGACCCACGTGTGTGTGCTTTTGCTCTAAGAGAGAGATCAAGTGAAGGCTATAAAGATGGATCTTTTCTAGATCTAAAAAAAAAGCAAGAACTTCGCAGCAAGAACTTCGCTGCAATATACTAAGTATTCAAAGCATCATTATCAATCGCTGAGATTCTACTTTTGTACTTCCATTTTCAGATCTAAGTAAGTCCCAAATTTACTTGTGAGCTTACACTTTTATATCCATCTTTTGAGAGATAATTTTTGTCAAAGAGGACAGTTGAACCTCTTTTTCTAGTTCCTTAGTTTCTGAGTGAAACACTTGTAAAGTAAGGCATTTAGTTGAGAGATCCTCAACAAATTGAAGTAAGTCCTTTGTAAAACAAAAATCCACAAGTTGGGTAAAGCTTAGTGGTGCATTGATTCATAGTGAAGAAATTTTCAAGGAGGATTCTTGAGGAGTGGACGTAGGCCGGTGAGCCGAACCACTATAAATCTCTGTGTTAAGTTATTCTTTCCTATTCTCTTTTCTTTCTGTTAATCTTTTGATTATCTGCTGCATTTGATTACATAAGATCTTTTGAAACCCTTTTTGAATTAAAATTTTAATTATCCAATTCACTTCTCCTCTCGGGTTGCCTTCCTGTTTAACAATTTGACCTTCCTAAAGTTATCATAAGGTATCAATTTACTCATCTCCACTAAAACTAGCATAAAGTCTTACTTTACATCCCCCTCTCTGAAATTGTCACAAACTATTACTTTACTACCTAAACTATAAAATGATACAATTAAACCCTTCAATAAAATACCCATCTTTAGG